CTCTTCCGATCTCCCCAAAACCCCAAAACCCCGCCAGTTAATAGTATATAATTTGAGAATAATTTTAATGGTATTTATGTGAATTAGCTAAATCAATATCATTATTAAATAATAGACAAGCGAATAATATGTTCTGGGGTAGTGTACTTAAGGAAGGAAAACCTTACAAAACTCAGTCAGCTCTCGAAGAGAACGACTATCCAGTCTTGCACTTGAGCAATGTAGCTCTTCCCAAGAATGCCTAGGGCGGCAAAGTTCACCTCTTGGCTTCAATGGGCAAAGAACTGAAGGATTTGACTCTGGCCACTCTCTAAAAAGACAAGGTTGAGACAGTCGCATTAGATATCTATATCAATATTTCTCAGAATGTGACTCTCTCAGTCTCTGGAGGAGAGCTCCACTTGAGTGGATTCTTCGAACCACAAAGAGAGGAGATGGACGAGAACATGTTCTTAGACGAAGAGGAAGAGGATGAGGAAGATGAAGAGGTTGAAGTAACCGGTTCAAAAGTCAACCAAAGCCTCAAGCAAGCTAAGATCAACGCCCAAAAGAATGCAAAGGGAGGAGCTCCATTAGATTCAGACGATGACGATGAAGACGACGATGAAGATGATCTAGACGATGAAGATTTAGATGAGGAAGATGATGAAGATTCAGAGGAAGATGTTAAGCCAGTTCAAAAGCAATAGGCAAAGCCAACTCAAGTTGCAGCAAAGCCACAATAAACACAACCAGCTGCCAAACAAGCAACCCCAGTTGCTCAACCAACTAAACAACAAGCATAAGCTAAAGCAGTCCCATAATAAAAAGCAAAACCAGCTTTCGGTAGCTCAGATGAGGAAGATGATGATGAGGACGATGAAGAAGATGCCGATGATCTCCTTGCCGACGACGATGATGAAGACGACGAAGACGAAGATGATGAGGAAGTCAACCTTGAGAAGCTTATGCAAAACCAAGCCAGAAAACACTCAAACGACAGCTCAAACAAAAACATCCAACCACCTCAAAAGAAATAAAACACTGGAGCCCCATAAGGAAACCAATAAAAGAATGGACAATAAAACCAACAAAAACCCCAACAACAATAAAACAAGCCCCAGGGTGGTCAATAGCAATAAAAGCCCCAACAACAATAATCACAACCAAACCAAAGTGGCAGCAATAAAAAGAACAGAAGAAAGAACAAGAATAAGAACAAGCACTGAGCTATTCCAAAGTAGCATTTAATTCAATGAGTTCTTAGATGTTTAAAACTATTTATTCTTCTTTAATTAAAAATAACATTCCAATTCTCAAAGGAACAATATTTAGCCCAGCGGGGTTTTGGGGTTTTGGGG